ACTATATCTTAACTGGAGTCTTAAAGACAGTTTCTATAAAAGTATTGGAAATTTACAGTGGAAATGAAAAGTATTGGAGTTGACAGGAAAGCCATGCAGATTTAGAACAAAAAAAAGAACAGTGATTATGTTCTATCAAGAATGTATTTTCATCATTTAATTTTTTTTTCTGATTGTGGATGTCTGTATACAAATTCTTTTGTAAGATTGTTGGCCTTCTGTCAACTGATTTAATTGCAAAAACCACTTATAGGAGGGGAAAGATAAACCAACCAAAAGCACTACTATTGCCTTCACTGTGTTTGCTTTCCTCTCATTCTCAGCAACAACTCTGTATGGTACATAGTTACAGTTGGAGAGAGTGTAGGGGTGTGTGTGTGAAGTGCCATTGAGTTGGTTCCAACCCATAGCGACCCTATATAGGGTTTCTGAGGAGCAGCTGGTGAGTTTGAACCACTGACCTTGCAGTTCAAATGACTTCGCAGTCTGGCGCATTAGCCCACAGCACCACAGCAGGACTCCCGCCACACGTGTACACAATTTTCTTTGGGATTTTCCAAGAATTCATAAGTTGGTTTGTTTTTTGTTTTGTAAAAGCATCATAGGGTTTCAATATTTTCACATACATTTATGCTTGTTTTTGTTGTTAAGTGCTGTCAAGTCGATTCTGACTCGTTTGTTGTTTTGTTGTTAAGTGTCTTAGAGCCAGTTCTGAACCATAGTGACCCTGTATAGGATTTCTGAGGAGCTGCTGGTGAGCTTGAACCACTGAGGAGTTGCTGGTGGATCACACCACTTTACAATCCGCACATTAACCCACAGCACCACACATAGTGCAACCCTGTATAGGGTTTCCAAGGAGCAATTAGCAAATTAGAACCACTGACCTTGTAGTTCAAACCTACTTTACAATCCAGTGCTTATTCTACTACTTACTGATTAATCAGCAGGCATCTTGATTAATAACAACTTCTATACTCGATCTCTTTAAAGTATTCAAGAACAAACATGTCAATTTGAGGACTAAGGTGCACTTAACCCAAGCCATGGTATTTTCAATAGCCTTATATGCATGTGAAAGTTGGACAGAGAATAAGAAAGACCGTAGAAGAATTGATGCCTTTGAGTTATGATGTTGAAGGAGACTATTAAAAGACTGCCAAAAGAACAAACCAGTCTATGTTGGAAGAAGTGCAGTCAGAATGCTCCTTGGAAGTCAGGATAACCAGTCTTCCTTTCTCATACTTTGACATATTATCAGGAGGGACCAGTCCCTGGAGAAGGATATTTTGTTCCCTAAAGTGGAGGGTCAGAGAAAAAGAGGAAGACCCCCAACGAGATGGATTGGCACAGTGGCAGGAGCAATGGGCTGAAGGGTAACAATGATGGTGAGGTTGGAGCAGGACCAGAGAGTGTTTCATTCTGTTGTGGCGTAAGGTCACTATGAGTTGGTACTGACTCAATGACACCTACAACAACATGCTTATCAGCAGAGTAATAACGATTAACTCTTAGTGACAACTCTGAGATTTTGAGTCTTCAAAGGAGAAACTAATGTAATTGTATTTAGCAAAGTGTTTTTTATTTACATTAGAGTTTTCTTTTGAAAACTACTAATAACTTACACCAGATAACAAAATGTTTAGTGTATTCTAACTAATGTTCTAAATTAAAACGGGGAAACAAAAAGGTATATATCCACCATGAACATTTATTATCCTAAAGGAATTTGCGTGACAAATTAATTGAGGCAAATTAATTAGGAAGTATGATTTGAGTAAGTGTGATCATTTGTTTTGATGTTTTATAGTGTTCCGGTTTTCAGTTATTAGTGTGTGATACATCAAATCTGTTTGTTAGATAGTCTCTAAATTCAGATGGGATACACTCAGGGTTATATTTAGTTCTCATGACATGTTTCAATTTTCTTCAGCTTCAGTCTACATGAAATTGCATATGAGCAATTGTTGATTTGTTCCATAGTCGGCCCCTGGCCTTGTTTTGACAAATGATACTAAGCTTCTCCATCATCTCTTCACACAGATATAGTCAATTTGATTCTTGTGTATTCCATCTGGTGAGGTCTAAGTGTGTCGTCACTATTTATGTTGCAGAAAAAGTGTATTTGTAATTGTTGATCTTACAAAATTCTATCAAGACCATAGTTTTCAACTAATAATGTCTCCTCTTTGTTTCCAACTTTCACATTGCAATCATCAGTAATTATCAATGCATCTTGACTGCATATTTGATCAATTTCAGACTGAAGTTTGTAGACTTCTTTAATTTCATCATCTTTGATTTATTGGTTGGTATGCAAATTTGAATAATAGTGATATTGACTGGTCTTCCTTGTAGGTGTATGGATATTATCAGAGATAGCACTGCATTTCAATATAGCTCTTTAAATGTTCTTTTTGACCATGTATGTCATGTAATTCCTCTTTAATCTGTCATTCCCAGCCTACTAAACCATATTACTGTCTGATTTTAAAGGGCCAATACCAGTTCTTTTTAGCTCACTAAGGACGAGGATATTAATCCTTATGCATTCCATTTCATTTTTTATGACTTTCAATTTTTCTAGATTCATACTTTGTGCATTCCACAATACTTTTACTAATAGATAGTTGCAGTTATTTCTTCTCATTTTGAGTTGCTCCCCATCAGCAAGTGAAAGACTACAGAATCTTTGTTCCATCCATGTCATTAAAGTCAACTCTACTTAGAAAAGGCACATCTTCTTTAGTCATGGTTTCAAAGCCTTCCAACCTGATGGGCTCATCTTTCAGCATAATATCAAACAGTGCTGCTCTTCATAACATTTTCAGTGGTTAAATATTCAGAAGTAGTCAACATTTCTTCCCGATGTTGTTGTTGTTAAGTGCCATGAAGCCATTTCCAACTCAGAGCAACCCTCTATAGGGTTTCTGAAGAACAGCTGGTGAGTTTGAACCTCCGACTTTGTAGTTCAAACTGACCTTGTGGTCCGGTGCTTATCATACAATGCCACACCAGGACTCAACGTTCTTTCTTCCTACTCTGTCTTAGTCTGGAAACTCTGCTGAGAGCCATCCACCATGGGTGCCCCTGCTGGTATTTAAAATACCAGTGGCATAGCTTCCAGCACCATAGCAACACACGGGTGGTGTTTCAGATGAGTGGTGATTTCAGTGGCATATAAATGGACATATGCTTTTCCCATTAGATACTTCTTGTCACTACTTTTACCCAGTTCCCTTTATACACCTCACTAACTTGTGATCCTATAAGCTCAGATTTTACCCATAGCCATTTCTCTAGTTTGCTGGTGGTGGTTCAGCACCATCAAGTTGATTCCAACTCATAGAGTCCCTGCATAGGGTTTTGGAGGAATAGCTGGTGAATTTGAACTGATAACCTTGCAGTTCAAACAGACCTTGCAGTCCAGTGCTTATCCTACAGTACCTCATCAGGGCTCTGGTTTAGTAACCTCCGAATTCTTAATTCTTGCATCCACATCACTTTTACAATCTTCTCCAAAAAGCCTTAGTCTTCTCTGCCAATATTTCATGCAATGCAATTCAATATAATTTCATAGACTTTTTTTTTTTTTTGAGAGCTTACAATGTGTTAAACACCATAATAGGGCTTGAATATATAAAATCAAGTAAGACAAGTTCCCCTATCCCCAAGAGATGTCGTTGTGGCTATCTACTGCTGAAATAATAGAAATAACACAAATGAATGGCTTTAAAAAATAGAAATATATTCTCTCTTAATTGAGGAGGCTAGAAGTCTGGATTCAGAGCACGGACTCTGGGGAAAGGTTCTTGTCTCCTATCAGCATCTGTAGACCCAGCTCTCCTTGGAGTTCTCCATGTGTCTTGGCCTCAATCTTCCTCCGGATCTAAGAGCTTCACAGGGCAGGGATCCCAGGTCCAAAAGTTGCACTATACTCCTGGCTCCTCTTTCTTGGTGGCAGTGGGTTCCTATTTCACTCCTCACTCCTCTCTCCTTTTATATCTCAAACGAGATGGACTCAAGATACAACGTAATCCTATAGATTGCACCTGACCTTAATTAACATCGGAAGTGAGGATTTACAGCACATTGGGTAATTACCTCAAGTCAAGGCTGAGCACATCCTGGGGGTGATTACATTATATTAGATCACTTCATGAAGGAAGACTACCTCTTCACCGCCAAACCAATGCCAACCAAGTTGAAACAAAACTGTAACTATCACAGGCATCAAGTGTACAAGCAGAAGAACATGCTAGGTAGAAAACAAGGAAGGTGAGATATCATTTCCCATACTTTGGATATATTATCAGGAGGGACCAGTCACTAGAGAAGGACATCATGCTTGGTAAAGTTGAGGGGTCAGCAAAAAAGAGGAAGAACCTCAGTGAAATGGGTTGGTACAGTGGCTACAACAATGGGTTCAAACATAGTAATTATTGTGAGGATGGTGCAGTACCAGACAGTGTTTAGTTCTGTTGTACAGAGAATCGCTATGAGTTGCAACCAACTTGACAGTGCCTAACAGCAATGCTAGATGGAGTGATAACCCACTGTCACAATGGATCTCTCATCTTACAAGATCCAGGAATGCTTCACACAGGTAAATAGGTCTGAGATGTACCTTGACATTTGTCATCTCTTCTCTAGTAGTCCCAATTTCCCCCAGCCTCCAAAAGACAAATCGGACTCTATTCTTGAAATGTGATTGATCCCTGACCTAATATTGTTTTTATATAAATTAGTTACAGTCTCAACTCTCATATATTGGACTAGTTTTCTCATGTTCAGACCCAATTCTATACATCAAAGTCGTCATTTGAAATAAAATAAACTGCTATTTTAATAGTTAGTCATCCATATAATTTGGAACAACATGAAAACAAATATGACATTTGAAGGAACGATTTTTTCAGTCCGTTTTTCTGGAAATGTTTAAACACAGGTTAAGGACCTGGAATTCACAGTTCTCAAATCATATTTCTCTATTTTGACAGATGCAATGCTCTTGGTGGCAGAGAGACTGGAAGGACCGTTCAACATTGAGTCCGTCATGGATCCGATAGATGTCAAGATTTCTGAAGCCATTATGAACATGCAGGAAAACAGCATACAGGTGTCTGCAAAGGTATTTGCATTCGTTATGTCTCTATTAATAAAGAAAGTGTAGTCATGTAAAAATGAAGTAACTCGATATGTCAGCTAGGATTATAAATTCTAATACATTGTCAGGGAGTCTTTCCTGCGGAGCCACAAATTTGCTACTTCATTAAAAATGTCTAACAAAATGGCATTGAGAAGGGAAGCAATCTTTTCATTCACAACTATTCAATCATGAAGAAATTATTGGCTGCCAGAAAGTTTCAGAGATCCCTAAGAATGTTGACTAATCCCTCACATTTGTGAGCAACTTGGGGGGTGGGCGATTTGCACTTTAATGTATAAAATGTCTGCATTGCGCTCACTGTGGTTTTCCTGTCTAGTAACTTCTAATTGTATCTTGAGCGGTGCAAACCAAGCAAACGTTCTATATGTTAAATTGTAAATAATTAAACATCCCATCTGACTTCCCTTCAAAACTACGGTGCAGCCTTCATTAATGACTCTTCAGGGGAAAATACTCCTTTGCATGAAGCCAACCACACACCAAAAAAAAAAAAAAAAAGTAGTACATTTTAATCAATCATATGAAACAGAGCTTCTGGGCTTCCAGCTGTGAATACCAGGTGTGCAGTTTTGATTTGTCTCCACCCCATTGAAGATAAACAGGACCCACCTTAAGCAAAATTGAGTCTCCAGCCTTTTCCTTCACCAGTGTGTCCCTAGCCTTTTCCTTCATCACTCTTTCCTTCAACCTTGATGAATGCACAATGCTTCTCTGTTGTCTTTATTATCTTTCCTGTCCTGAAACTGTATCCATATCAACATCAGCCCTTTAAAGCGGGTATTGAGTGATTGCATTTTAATTGAAATGCAATCAATACACACTAAAATGTCATGTTAAGTAAAGGGTTGCACGTTTAGATTTCATCATTGTTTAAAATCCTTCGTGAAAGACAGTTCAGATTTAATCAAAGGGGAAGGGAAGAGGAGAATGGAGAAGTTTAAAAGCAGAAGGAGAATCGTAGACCCTTACTAGGTCTCCCTGGTTGAAAAGGAATCAAACTAGATTTGAACTATTCAGTATGAAGTGGGAGTTGTTGTTGTTGTTGTTAAGTGCCTTCGAGTCGGAGCAAGGAGGGGTGGGATATATTCGTTACTGAGTAGCACCATGACAACAACAACAAATTCACAAATTGGTTGCTTTAAAAGACAGAACTCTGTTTTCCCTCAGGTCAGGAGGCTCAAAGTCCACATTCAGGGAGTGACTGTAGCGGGAAGAGGGCCTTCCTTGTCTACTTCAGCTTCTACTAACCAACAATCCTTGGATTTCCTTGGCTGGTAGATGCATCACTGTGTGTCAGTCTTCGTATGACATCTTATCCCCATGTGTGTCTCTGTGTCTCTTCAGAATCCATTCTACTCTGGGATACCCTCTCTAACATAACAAGAGAACCCCTTCTTTTCAAACAAGATCATATTTATAGGCATAGAGGTTAGCAGATTAACACCAATTTTGGGGTGAGACAGCCCAACCCGTTACGTTAGCTAGGACTGGATCTGATCTAGATCCCTCTCTCTCTTGGGAGATAGCTGGGCCAAGACTTTCTTAGACCTAGTTCTCAATTACAATGGATTTGGATAACCTATGTAAAGGAGAATGTTCAAAATTGTTATGACCTAATGGGGATCTGGTATGATGCTATAGGATAATCATTGGACTGCTCACTGCAAGGTTGGTAGTTCAAAACCAACAGCCACGCCTCAGAAACTCTATACAGGTGGCTATGAGTTAGAACTAACGTGAAGGCACTTAATAATAACAGTTTTGTGGAAATAGTACGTCCGGGATCCCTATAAAATGACATTTTCTGTCTTCTCATTAGAAAAATAATAATCATTAATTTTCTCAAATCTATTGCCCAGAAATCAGTTAACATTATTTGAGAGGCCAGATACCCCAATGATCCTTGAATATCATGTACTTCTTCTGTTGATGATATTCCAAACAGCTCTAAAGAATTGGGTATGAAAAACCTTATGGACAATGTGTAGTAACTCGTAGACATGATGAAATAACTAGATATGTCAGCTGGGATTATAAATTCTATTACATTGTCAGTGAACTTAAGACCATTATATATTTCTTTTTTCTTTCTTAAATGTTTTATTGTGAATTATGTGATAGTTTACATGGGAGAACATTAGTTTTACATTCATTCTATCGTATCTCGTCTCATTACTATGGTTACAATCCCCTCCATGCAATCCTTCCCCAGTACCCCCCAGGTCTTCAGCACACAGT